TGTACCCCCCCCCCATCTCGACTTTTTCACTTTGATGTTCCTTCCCCTCTGTGAATCTTGAAGTCAACTAACGGGCTAATGATAACTATCAAAACGCCTGCCATTTGGTATAAATAAATAATTATAAGTATCTGCAGAAATAGGAAATCGAACTAAGATATCCACATAAAACTTGAGATCCTAGATCACAATTAGAAATATGGTACGTTTTTCTTTTTTTCAATAGGTATCGGTTTAGAGTACATAACTTACTCATCGGAAATTCGAATTGCTGGCGTGAAAATGATCAGAGCTATGATAATTGAAACACTTCGACGAATCCTTAAATCCTGCCAAAAGCAAAGTCCCACTGAAACAAATAAGGTGAACAACAAAATAAGATAAACAAAGGTCTTGAATTAATAAGATGGTAAAAAGAACCACCAAGATACCTTGTAAAATTGGCTTAAAAAATAGGGATTGGGTGAGGTAGAAGTGGTGACGAGACTTGAGATCATTTATAATGACGTAGTGGGCGATCCCGAGAAGCACTCTAACAAGTGGTTCAATTAGGAGATTTTCACCAATATTTAAACCCAATTGAGCTGATAAAGACGCAACCCAGTCCAGAAGAATGCTGGGACCATTGGCTTCATTCCAAAGTTCAAAATTGCCCGAAGCTAAAAGAATAGAATTAAAGTTGAGTACTAAATCTAAACAGAGTAATTACCTTCGTTGTAATGAGTAATTCCATATAGTAAGTTATAAGCTAATTAACATTAGATCTTCAAATCGTTTCATACATAAGTCAATTTAAGTACGAATCTTAATCGATATTTAAAGTGCTTTTAGTCCAATAACATTAATGAGCTGTTTAAGAATAATTAATAAATTTTACTAAAGCAGAAAAGAGTTCTACTCTTTAAAATAAGGAAATAACTAACAAAATAATATCCAAATAAAGGCATTTACTCTTGTAAAATCATCGATATAACTTAAAAATTCGAATACCGATCCCCACGATCTTAAGAGAGAAAATAGTGAGTCACTTAACAAAAAACATTTAAGGCATATCATAAAGTTCCAATGGTTGTTGAACTGACAGACACACATCCCACTTTTTATAAACTCACAAGTGAGAATCCTGAAAACTCGTTCTGCGGCATTACATCTCACTCCCAGATCAGCAACTCCATCTCCTACTAGTTCCATCGCTTCAATAAGAATTTTACGATCAATGTGGTTGGAAGAAATTCCATCAGCAAGAATCTTGCAACTCAATTCTTCAAATATTGCTTGACTAATAGGCATTGCAGGATCAGTAATAATTAGCAAGTCGCTAAGTGTCTCATCAAGGGAAGAATACAATTGCGCACAATCTTTGATTGTGAAATCCATCGTTTTGACGATCAAAGAAGCTGCTTTTCTGCGAGTATGTGGCTGTGGATGATAAAGAAGAGGTATTGTGCTGGCATAGCTATTTGTCAAAGCATTTTTAAAGCCACCATGACCCAGAAAAGCTTCAAGGGAAGGGTTAATTTCGGCCGACAGACCTGCAAGTAGAGAAATGAAAGGCTGAATGGGTCGCCAATCAGTGGAATAGGGAAGACAGTTCAAATCATTCGGTTGTTCGTAAATCAGATTGACAAAATTAAGCCACATTGATTCTGGTATTAAATGGTGGGAGTCGAGAAGTAAGCGGAGACAAGCTTTCGCTGTAGTTGCAATCTAACGTGAAGAAGGGGATTAGTAACATTCCAGACTCATTAAAAGGTGCTTACTTCTGGAACTGTATCATTTGCGCCAAACTCTACGATTTCCCCAAAAACCTCACGATTAAGAAGAAATTTTATTCGTTTATAGTCCTGTGATGTTGGATTTGCAGCATTTTCAACTGACACACTAGTCTATGAAAATCAAGAGAGGAGGTAAGAATATCCACAAAAGAAACAAGATCTTGAAAAGTGAACGGCATAGACTAACTGATATAATCTCATGGATTTGATCGTAAGTAATTTTCCGAATCTTAGAATTTGAATGTGACAGAAGCATAAGGAGATATGGACGACTTTGAGAGAGCAGAGAAATACAGGTTGGTTCATCTGCGTACAATAGCCTTAAAGTAAAAGAAGTAAGATAAGTACTGGGCTATTACCACCTATCGTGAAAATTTTACTTACGTTTCAGCCAAAAATGAGACGAACTTCGGCGCATAGCTATTAGGAATAAATTCAATAACTCTTAGTCCTTCAATCGCCTTTGTCATCATTCCACCAAAGTTTGGCAAATCAAAATTCTAAAGAAATAAATAAGCTTTACTTAAACTATTATAAGTAGTACGAGTAGTAATAGCAAAATAACAAACTTGGTGATTTTCCAGACTTCGAATGAAATCTACTGAGGCCAATATTGCCGGGGATATTTCCATCAATTTGGAGTGGAGAAGAAATATTTCAGGATCAAAAAAGCGAACATAGGCCAAGAGATCAGTCGAATTGTTCTCATTAAAATTTGATACAAAATGGCAATCCAAAGAGGCCAGAGCGATTTCAAAAGATGTCATCGAAGGAAGAAGACACGCACACTGAAATAGCAATATAATATAAGCGGTGTATCACCTTACCGCTTCTGGCGTCCATAAGGAGAAAAGAAGACGAAATAGGGGTTTGAGTAAACCAATGTATATAAGTCGCGGTTGTTCAAAATCGTCAATCTGACGATCAACACTCAGGTCGTTACGCCATGATTTGGAGAAGGTGGAAAGTAGAATTCCCCAAAGTTCTAGCATATTATCAAACCCAGGAGTCTGAAATGTGAATAAATTTAGAAATTCCAAAAATTAATACAAACAATTCAGGACAATATTTAATCTGGAAAATTATAAAAACAAATACCCCCAAATCTATATTTAGTTCCAATTGCAACTCTAAAATAAAAAAAATCTTTAAAAGAAATTTGAAGAATATTTCTGCATGTGTAAAAGTGAAATTTTTTCTATATGTATCTCCACAAAATTTTCTATTTTTTATGGTAACTAGACAAGCAACCTCCTAACAAAAACGTTCATATTGTTGACTTTGAGTATACTAATAAAATCTGCAAATAAAGTGACACAAATTAACAAGCATTCTAAGCAAATGCATTTCAGAGAAATATCGAATTTATGCCAATCGATGTGTCAGGGTCATTTAAATGGCTTCATTCGTATTCTTGAAATACGACAAATCGATGAAAAAGTAACCAGGAACCAGCCAATTTATTCCTCGTAGAGAAATTTTCTCAATTCAGTAGAACAGCTCTAGCTCAGAAAGAGAAATAGCAGACAACGAAAATACCTAAATAATATACAAGGAATAGCATTCATCGCTAACTCACTCCAAGATCTAAAATTTTTTGCCTAATATAAGGCATTTTTCTCGTTGTAATTCTTAAAGGCAAAGAAAGAAACAATTCATGTGTCATTGGAAAGTTATCCATGCAATAGTATCCGTATTGAAACGAGGAGATTAACGTAGAGATGACGCAAAAGAACTGATGGCTCAAAATTCTGTTTACGGCAAGTGCGGATTTAGACAAATCTAGGGCTTAAGGGTGCTTAATTCAACAGAAATTTTAGAAAATGCTACTTTTAAACTATGACAGTAGGTAATATCGTGTTAAAAAGTTCTAAACTTCAAGATTAGAAAGGCTATGAATACGTTAATAGATATTCTATCTCAAAGTATTTTTTAAAAACGAAGTCACTATATGTAAATTAGAGGGGTGTGTGATAGACTTACATCCACGTGGTGCACCCTGGGCAACGTATACTCATACGGCAAAAAGTCCATACAACGGCAGTAGACTTCTGACTTCAAACTGCCACGACCCAACTGTATGTCACTTTCCACCACAGTACTCACCTTACTTTTTTTTCTACCTTTGTGTCTGCCTGTCTCTTTTTACATCTGTAAATCACTCTTTTATTCCCCCTCTCGAATTTTTCTCACTCTGATGTTCCTCCCATCTTTGAAACCTGAAGTCAGCTAATAGGCTAATGATAACCATCAAAACGCCTGACATTTAAAGTAAATAAATAGATAAATTAGGAGTCTATTCCATGATTAATAGCGCACAAACGTCTTTGCCTTTAAATAAAATGAATCAAACTTTTTAATCAACTCAATACAGCTTGCAGTTGCATAAAAAAACAGTTTGAATACGTTAAATAAAATCGTTTAATTAAATATCACCAAACTTTACCACGTTTTGAGAGGGAAGGACACTTTCTGCAAGTGGTTTAAAGGACTCCACAGTCGTAGACCCAAACGTTCGCCAAGACAAATCCACCTGTGTACAATGGAGGAATAGGTCCACAGCTTTATTAAGGAGATGCAAAAGCGAACTCCGAAATGCCGTACTTGAACGAACAGTAACGAGGCCGGAAAGTGCAGCGTTGGCCATAGCGACTGCAAACACGGGAATTGATACACCATTTGATGGTAAGTTAATAACACACGGGGGTAAAAGGCTCCCAGTCAAATATTCCGAAACTTTAGCCGAGGTTAAAAACTCCTTCAAATAGTGATTGATTTCACTTCACACAAAAAATCCAAAATTATTTAGCGTGAAATTTACCTATTCTCAAGAGATTCGACATGTCTATTTGTTGACGAATAGTTATTAAGATTTTCAAAATAGGAGATCCGTGTAATTAGCTTGCAACACAGATTAATCAGTATCTTTGTTGATGCAATTTGAACTCGATTACTTGAAGATGTAACTATGAAGGTAGCTAATAACTAAGAGACGTAATAAAAATTGTAAGCAATACATTACCTGAATAAAAACCGGATTCCGAATGAAGAATTCGGCTGGATAATCAGACAGAATTACCGAATCAAAATAACCCAGTTTTGAAAGAACCGTTAAATCTGTCGTATTTGCAAGTGATCTAGGAAAATATGTGCAAAAATTGGACTTACTGTATATAATCAGAAATGTATTGTCCATTAAGTTGGGATATAGAAGAACTGGGTAATTTTTCAATAACAAAATCTATGAGATATAAGAAACTAAAAACGGAAACACACCAGCTGTATGAAAAGAAAAAGAACCATTTTTAGTAAATTTGCTAAGTATATTTCCATTGGAGTAATGACTATTTGGCATAGCGAAAAAAATTGTAGAATGCTGGAATGGTTCAGTCATCGGACTTATTTCACCTCTAGAAGAACCACCATTGTTTGCATCTTCATGCAATTCCGACACGATATTCGAAACAATTTCTTGAATAAGAGAATGACTTTCCTTTAAATCGGGATTGGAAATAAGAGATAACAAAATTCCAATAATATTATTTTGTTGAAGCTGTGCACGACCAGCGACATCCTGAAAAATTAATAATGCGTATGAACCTACCATGCTTAATCGGTGGAGAAATTCTAAAATTTCGTTGCATCTTTCTGTTTGCAAGTTAGAAATAACAATATCAATAATGTCCGAAAGAGATTTCGGAGGTAAAAATCCACGTTTCAATTTATTTATTACATTATCAAAGGCTCGATGCCGAATTTCCGCAATTGGATGATCTGAATGTCAAAGTAAAAGAAAAACTTACTCAATTTATATGAGAATCTGTACTCACACGCACACATTAAATAATACAGCGGAAAAAAGTGCCACTGTTCTCTTATTGGTTAGTGGCTAGACAAGAAAATTACAATTACGTTACTATGTGGAAAAAGAGGGGTGTTATTGGAATCATTACTGTAAAATGGGGTTGGAATCTTGAAAAACAATTACTTGCTGCTTGCAATCCGATCAATAAAAGAATTGAATATCTTATCAGCCAATGAGCATGCAACCTTGTACTTATATTTGATTCACGGATAAACTGTGAAACCGCCAAATTAACAAAGTCTAATTTTAGGGTTTTGAATTCGTGGGTACACAATTCTATTGATGGTTTTGATTCATATAAAGTATATGGAAGGAACCACAAGTTAAGCCAAGTTTTGAAAAAATATTTCAAGAAAAGTCTTTGAAGCAAAAATTAATATTATTTCAAATGTTAGGCTTATGATATTTATCGTTTTTTCTATTGAAACGAGAAATAATTTGTATTATTTTCTTGAATTTCTATTTTTTTCTTTATTTAAGGCAAACAACTGAGATGCAGACAATGCAATTGATACAGTTCTTAGATGTTTTATTATCTGTTTAAGATATTATCCTTGGGCAAGTTAATTTACTAATATATTTCAGATATAATATTATCTTGATTCCTTCTATTTTCAATCCACAAGACATTTTCATAAAATAAATTGCATTTTACATTTACTTATCTAGAGTTTATAATTCGTTTATTATTAAATTGTAAGTTACATCGGACTTTCCATAGTTACTACACTCTTATTAAATATGTCCAGCATGACGGACAAGCCACTTTTTACGATGTTAAATAGTAAGTGAATGGTAACTCTCATAGGCATTATATCATTGTTTTCATATTTACAAAGTTCGGTAAATTCATAAAAATTCGCCTTAACATCAACAAAAATTATCAATGCTGCTTACAATATATCGTACAATATTTTAATATTAAAATGACTAATAAGTTAAACTACTCTTAATTGATTGGAAGTTTTGGAATAAAGAAATGACTGCAACTCAACTATAGGTAAATCTAGAAGAATGATTTGCTCATCCATTTAAGCAATTGATTGGAATAATTGGTACCCAGTAAATTAGATATTTTAAGGACCTATAAATGATTTTTTCAATTCCATGTTTACCATAAGTATATATGTAGATATAATTTATAAAGCAAAGGAACATGGTTAGTTGCTCGTATCTATCTGGTGTGTCATATTCATTTTATACTTTTAGTGGTCATGGCCAATCAAGCTTGAATTTGTTATTACTAGCTGAATGTAGTGAAGTAATGTAATAAAGTAAAGACTAGACCAAATCACTTATTGCACTTAATCAGTTCCATTTTGATCGCAAGTTCCAAAATAATTTCCTCCTTTATTCATTTTTAAAAGGACGCTTGAATGGCTGTGTAACAAATTCATCTTTAATTTCAAATCGCTTTCTGTGAGAGCTTCTAATGACTTTATTCCTACGTGTTCCAAAGGTATTTTTCTTAGTCATCGCTAATCCCTGAAACCCAATTATCTCGAGCGTAGGCCGCCGTCGCGTGTCCATAGGTTGTTCAATTTAATTAACTGCGGAATGTCTCTGGGGCGCATGCAAAGTTACCAAGGCAAACCTAATGAATTGATTTATGCGCTAGAATATTTACGAAATTGCGGACTTACTACTAGTGTGGACCAGCTTGTAGCCTGTCAGGAATTAATATTCGCATAACAAAATGTGGTGTTGATTGTATTTAATGACCTCTTTTGACCAAGGTTGTACTAAACTCACTACACTCAATGCCTTCTGTGCTAATTTTGACACAAACTTGCTATTTTGGTGAGAGGATTGTCAATTTTTAGCAAAGTTTTTCTTTCCGTGGTATCAAATACAATGGTGAATCTGAGTGGACATATTCCTTGTGATCAATAAGAGCTAAGAGCTAAATATAAAGCTGTGCATTGATCAATCTAATGAAAGAGACAAAGAATATGCATAAGTATATATTTACTCAAAGCTTTCATAATTGTCTTTCAATACAAATATTGGTAAACTTTCCTGCAAAGTAGGTACAATAGCAGTTAATCCAACAGCTTGCAACGCGTTGACTAGTTTCCCGACCACAGGATTCTCAGAACAATCCCTCCAATTAACAATGAGTTGAAGCAATCGATTCAGCCTGGAATCATAAGATTCGTTTTCATCCCACCTTCCGATCTCCTCGCCTACTAGTAACCGAGTGAGATCTTTCAGCTGAGCTGTCGAAAACTCGTCATTCTTTCCAAGCTCCGAACAAATTTCAAGGAGAACTTCGTAACGAATCCAAGAGGCTGGAATATCACCACCAAACCAACAGCAGGCTCGAAGCTGAGGATTCTGCATAAAGATGGTCAATTCTAGAAATTTAACTCCATCAGAATCCGTGAGGAGATGGAAGAGAGTTGGTTGTGACACTTCTTCCTTGCATACTCTTGGAAAGGTTGAAGTTTTGAATATTAGAAGGCAGTTAGAGATTGATAACTGAGAGACTATTTCATCCAGAGCTCCTCGCACGAGGATTAGGATATCGTGGAAACAATTAAATGCTAGTGGTATAAGGGTTTTGTTTGTCTCGAGCTTGACTTCAATTGCCTGAAAAAGAGAATTTATTGCTGTATGTTGAATCAGTGATGTAAATAGAAATGTTTCCACTCACCTCTTCTGTTTCGTCACAAATAAGACATATGTTGATAAGTCCTTTATTATATGAAAGTCGACTTCCGAGCAACCATTGAACCAATTCTTGACTTTCTAATCCTTCCAGTTTTAATAAACTGGATGCGGCTCTTCTCAACCTGCACTGAATTCTTGGAAAAACGTGAATCAATTGAGCCCCAGATCCTTTGAACTGAATTCCAGTTCTGATCATGTCTTCGCCTCCACAACCCCACACTTCAGTTATATCGGAGGGTTGGATGAGGTTCAATCTCGGAATTTCCATCTGCAGTTCCTCTTCAACCATTGTAGAGTTCTGAAGGTTATTAGTTCCAGCGGCGGCATCTTCGAAAAATGAGTGAATGGATTGCTTTCGAGCTTCCGACTGTGCAGGACTTTCCGGCTCCTGATCTTGGCCAACATTCGCTTTGACGATAGTGCAACATTCAAGTGCGATTAGAACTTCAAGAACCATTCCGACATCACTCTCTGAGATGAGGAAGTGAAGGTCATCGGTAGTGAAGCTTCCAGTCACCCGAGCATGACTAATGCTATCTTGGGAGAAGAGATTTCCCACAGCGTCGGTTAAGACCCAGGAGGGATTCAGGATGATTAAATCGTTGCCGTCGTCTGTTTCTAACACCATTAGCTGATAAAAAAGTACATTAATCAACATTTTTATCTCGGCCACATTATCTCGGCATACGTTTTTGCAAACTACGTTTAAGAAGGAAAATTTATCATATTCCCATAATATGTACACTGTGAAAATTCAATGAGTAGAGAGATTAAGTGTTTAGAAAAAAAAACAATTTTCAAAATGGATTCGAGTATGATTTATTGAAATGTATAACCGTTAGGTTGGTGAGATTTGAACAGTCCAGATGAATTAAATGACAGTTGGGGGGGAG